TTTGCCCGACTTAATGTATATTTTCATATGCTACTGAAATATCATGATCCGTTACGGCCTTAATGAGAGTAGTTAACGTCAGCTTTTTTATGTTGTCTATAAAGAAACATTGTATACGCGTATGATCTGTTTCTCTCCCTGTGATTAATGTTTTTAATAGCTTATCTCTTCCCTTCCCTCTCTTTCTTCACTATTTTTTTTCTTGTATACATCTACCCCACCATTTCTATATGTCTTCTTATACTCTTATCTCTCTCTACCCTCACTACATTCCTATCTCTTTATTTCTTTTTTCTCCTATGCTCCCTTATCACAGTTCCATCTCCCTCTTATCTCCATCTTCTCCAGTAGACATCACCACTCTTGTCTCTCCCTACCAATCCTTCTGCTTATCCCTCGTGCCCGTAAGTTGGACAAGAAATTATACCAGGGATTTGGGAACCAGAGAAGTCTACTTTGCTGTTCTAATCTTTAAGCCGCGAGATGTCCGCTGGCATGTTGCTGTTATCAATCAGTCGGAGCTTTTTGTTGAGTATAATTAAGGTCTGCTGTCGTCCAATCTGGTAGTCAGGCAAATTATATGCCTATTGTCGAACCAGCACGTGGCTACTGGCTGTACCTTGGCCAATCTTGGATGATGGTTTGGGTGCGGGTTACTACATGTAATCAGTACGCGCGAATGCACGCAGGGAAGAGAAGAGGATATTAAACTATGTGATCTTTAATATGTCATGTTTCGCGTTTTACGGTTTGATTTATTTTTGTTAGTCATGACTGTACTCTATTATGCAATGTGAACCTGGCTCCCTCCTGCATATCTTAACATGAATTGCACATCCGAGTCTCTTTGCTGACTGCTGCTGTCGACTGGTACTGTACCAGGACGACAAATCCTGGTACTTTAATCAAATAATGTGTCTGCTGCTGACCTGTTAGTGGGTTAAATCATATGCCTGTTGGTGACCAGTCAGGACGTGGCGCAGCCTAGGCTGGAGTGGTGTGCGCAGGCTGCTGTCAACACGACCGCAACGGATAAAAAGTGGAACTTTGGCTTGCGCGGTCTTCTTTAGTTTTCCTGCTCGTTGTGCACTGCGTTTAATGTTTGTTTATGAGATGTACCTGTGTTCTGTATTGCCGTGAGAAGTTCAGACACAGCTACATGTTTTATTATTATCTAAACAAGCTTGTCTAATTCTCTCTCTTAGCTCCCATTCCCTCCGATACTGCTCGTTGCAAGGCAGCAGAGGCAGAGAAACCGACTGTGCAATGCCAGCAATAAAACATTCAGACGATCGCAGCAAAACAGTTACAAACGAAGAACTCGCGGTGGCAACACCGTTTGACGGACCGTGTTATCACAATTTAATTGAATTATTAATTTCTACCAAGTAGGGGATATGCCATTGTTATAGAACTCATAATGAATTCAGTTTTGCATTTTGACTCTCGATGCTCAACTCAGAAAGTAGATGACTGCATGTAATTAAAGAGGAAAGTTGCAAATCAAATCAATCAAAAAGCAATAAAATAGTGACATGGCAACAGACTGTTATTCCCACACTAGCAAAAGCGAAGTCGGTATCTTACCAACAACCGACAGATCGCCCTGTCTGTAAATGCGATGCCTGGAAATATAACATGACATACTGCTTGTTGGGAAATACTGTGGAATTATTCCTTCCGTTCGCTTATCGAGAGTGTATCATGACTGCATTTGCAGGGATTGCTAATAAACATATAATAGTTAGGCTCCAGGACAAGGCCACGGAGAAGTCCACGTGCAAGCAACAGCAGCTGTAATCTCTCTCCTTGCTCTGTTATTCCTGCCTGAATGTGGGTTCTGACTTTACTAAATGTGCTCTCCTTGTGTTGATTTTGAAAATGAATGATAATAAATGAATAAATATAGATCAGTAATAATGCTCTTGATTATTTTATGGGAAATGGGGTGCGGCTTCTGGGCATATAACTAAAAAAATAAAAGGTGTTTTCATTGACTTAATATTATCAACTCACGGTTGATAATTGCTTTGAACTTCAATCAATTTTCATTGTATTATTTATGAATTATTAATGAGTGTTGACTGACTACGTATGAAAATTTTAGCACTTTTTACCTTTGTGAGTGAGTGTGTGTCTGTGTGAGTGTGTGTGTGTGTGAGAGAGAGAGAGAGAGAGTGAGTTTGTTTACTCGCAACATTTAAAACTTTGCAGAATATTCCATATCCTCCCCCCCCCCCAGTATCTAGCTCATCCGCCCCCCAATTCGGGAATCAAGGTGTAAACATGACTGTAAAATACACATGTTATCACTCGTTGAATAACCTTCCTTTCTTTGTAGTTTTAATTCGTTTCCAACTAATTTAATGATAATTTAGACATAATTCCTTCACTGTTTCAAGACAATTATATCATTGATGTTATGAGAAAAGAAACAAAAAAAAAAACTAGTGAATTATTTTTGTTTATTGTGCTTTTTCTATCTCTGTATTCAGAATCTACACAACGATAATTTATTTGTTAAATCTAAAGCCATATTCACAGGTAATATTATTACAGGATAAACCAAATCTAATAAAAAGAAAAATATATTATAAAGAAAGGCAGACTGGAATTCGACTGAACTTTAAACTTCAAACAAAATTACAACGTGCACTAAACTTCCATAGCAATACTTGACAACCCGAATACGACCTGTGACTTCCTGAAGAAACCCTTGATTCATTTTTTTTTTATTTTTCTATTTAATCCACTTGTTCTTTCTCATTGATTGTATATGTTATCGCTTGCTATGTTCCACTATAATGACAAGTTTTCCCTTTATATCTATTAAATGTCTATTGTTTAGTCCATACAAATACAATTCTTGTACATTTTGCAAGCAAGCAGAAGGAATGGGTGCTGATAAGTTTTCTAAATGCAAAGAAAATGTTAATGGATGAATAAAGCGTGTAAAAATAGCGACACAGTGGTACACAAGAGATACCTCTCTTTTTCCAGACCTTCTCTAAAAGTTGCAGAAAGCTCAGTTAAAAAAAATAATAATAATAATAATAATAAAACTATAAAGGCCTTCCGGAACTTTAACCTATATTCCTACTACTGGAAGCTTAACAATTAACACAAAAATATGAAATGACCAGCACAACAAGAAGTAATTCCAGAGTTATAGAAACAAACTTCCGCACACATCGAATAGTTCATCGTTGTCAGGGAAACCGAAGAGGCAAGTGAAAGCAACTGCAATTTTATGCAAATCCATGTTGCTGAATTAACTAATATTGTACTCACCATTGGCATTGCTAACATGCAATTTCCTGGATGTGACCGCGACACCTGACCGCTTAAGTAGCAGCTCAATTATTTCTGTCGCATGATGGCTCAGTCGATATCCACACACAGTGGCACCTTCTTAAACGTCGCAACAGATAACGTTATTTCATAATAAATTTTATATCCGGCAGACAAGTTTGTTTTTTATCCTCTTCTTTTTTCTCTATATTAAGGCAGCCAAGATGAGGATTAAGATAAATTTAAACGAGGGAAGAATGATGCAGAAGGCCATTAACAGGAATATGAAGTGATTTCACCCAAAAGACCGCGTGTAGTGAATCGACAATTAAAAAACACTATATCAATTACATCCACATCACTTATAAATAGTAAAGTACCAGTGGACAGCCTGACAACCCCCTCAGGCTCGTGAAACCACCAGTACGCTGCTCAGGTGAGCCGCAAAAAAAAAAAAAAAAAAAAAAAAAAATCGGCGGCCAGGTGTGAGGTCAGCGCGGAGGGTGAGCGAGGCTCCGGCGCTGACAGGAATAAAACGTCCTGCTCAGTATTTTTTGTTTGTTTCCATCCCGGAATTCTCCGTCCAGTGTTTTCAGGTTTCTACAACCACGATGACAATAAGATAAGTATTGGACAATATAAGAGATAATAAGATATTTGTGGTTGGTGAGGCCAGAGGAAAGAATATAAAAGATCATGGTAAATTACTGGTGCGGAAGAAATATACTTGACATACTGATATACCAATACATACAGATACACAAATACATGACCACTCATTTTATTTTTTTTACACTTCTCAACTGCGACCCGCACTGTACAGAACGGGCGTAGTTTTAATATGCAATTAATGTATTTCCCATTATTGTGGTTTCTCTTTCTCTCGTCGAAATCATCCTCACTTCCCGCTAACCCTACATCCCCCGAGCTGTGTTTCCGTCACATGTCCATAAAATAGTGTCCTTTTATTTATTCTTTTATATATATATATATATATATATTTATATATATATATATATATATATATATATATATATATATATATATATATATTTATTTTTTTTTTTTATTTTTATTTTTTTTTTCTTTTTTCTGCACGTGTAGCTTAGCCCCGATAAGCAATAATTAAGATCAAATCTTAATAACTGCAAGTCATATTTCATTATTTTAAGTTTGCAGTTAAATAATGCCTTTGTTTCACATCATCTCTTTATTGAACCATCTTGTAAAGGATTCCTCAATATCCTGTGAAAGTAACCTTTATTCAAAACACAAGGCTAATGAGGTTTTTAGTTTCACTCAAAGTCGTTTCGGTTAAGTCGGGTTTTCCGGATGTTATTCCCTGTGTTCAGTGATATTCTATATTCTGTTCTAGAATGACAGAGAATACTAAAGTAATTTCGCAGCATTTTCCAATGAGCAGTTACTTGGACAAAGTCATCGCAGTGTAACCTCAGGCATCAGGATTCGATGGCAAAGGCGAAGCGGCGGGATTGGCCAATCAGTCTGGGTCGTCATCGTTCGGTCGGCGGATAGACCGACTTCACGTCGTTTGTTATCGTGAAATTTGTTGTTTCACAACTTTCCTGCAATAGGATTGATTCCTTTAATTTCATTATGGCTTTCCTCTAAGCTGACCATCGCGGCAGATGATTTTAAATAATCAACCATCGAGAATCAAAGTGAATAACAAAAATTCTTTGTTAGCACTATGGCAATGGCAACTTCCCTGCATGGTGACATTGAGCGTTAAATCAAACAGCAATAACAGGGCCTGGCAAAGAGTGTTGCCACCGCGAGTGCACTGTTCGTAACAGCATTGTTGATTTGTCTGGTTATCTTCATGTCTTCGCGTTGCAATTCATCTCTGCCGTTGCTGCAATTGCATCTTGCAGTAATGAGGGGGAAGGGGGGGGGTGAGAGAGACATACAAACGTTAAGGTTCCTAATTAATGACACGTCATGCTGGTAGAAGCTCCGTTTACAATCGGAACATGTAATCTAGATAACATGAAACGAGCCACAACAAAGACGCAAAAAAATATATAGTGAAGACCGCACTTACCTACTAACTGCAAAATATTTCTATTTTTTAACAATTTCCCCATTCCCTTTCATGTAAATTTGTGTATAATAACCTGTAGCAGCTTTTCACCGACCTTCGGTACACTACAGTTTAACGCAGGTGGTGTCCCTTTCCAGGACTCGGCAAGTGTGGCGAGAGTGTCTTCTGTCGACAAGCAGGACGTCGCTGCTCGCCCGGGGAGAGAGTCGGAGAAGAGAAGAAAAGAGGGAGAAAGAGGGAAAGGCGATAAGAAGACAAGAGGGAGGAAGAGGGAAAGAAGAAATAGAAATCAGAGGACGAAAAGATGGAAACCAAATGCGAAAAAGACGAAAAGGAGAAAGAGGAAATAAGAATAAAAGACGAAATGAGGGAAAGAAGATGAGAAGACGAAAAGGAGGAGAGAGAGAATAGATATCATAACTGACAAGAAAAGAGGGAAAGGAGATGAGAAGACGAAAAGGAGGAGAGAGAGAGAATAGATATCAGGAGACGAAAAGAGGGAGGAAGAGGGAAAGGAGATGAGGACAAAAAGGAAGGAGAGAGGGAATAGAAATGAGGACGGAAAGAGGGAGGAAGAGGGAAAGGAGAATGAGAAGAAGACGAAAGGAGGAGAAAGAGGGAATAGATATCGGAGGACGGAAAGAGGAAGGAACGGGGAAAAGAAAAGGAGAAGACGAAAAGGGGTAGAAGAATAGAATAGAAATGAGAGGACGGAAGAAGGGGGGAAGAGGAAAACGACTTACTGTCTTCCTCTCTCTCTCTCTCTCTGTCTCCTTTTTCTTTCACTCTTTCTCTGTCTCTTTCTTCTGCTTCTCTTCTCTCTCTCTCTCTTTTTGTCTCTCTTTCTCTTCTTTTCTCTCTCTCTCCTCTCTCTCTCTCTTTCTCTCTTCTTCTCTCCTTTTTCTCTCTCCTCTTTCTTCTCCTCTTCTTCTTCCTTTCTCTTTCTATCTCTCTGTCTCCTTCTTTTCTCTTTTCTCTCTCTCTCTCTCTCTCTCTCTCTCTCTGAGGAACAAGGGTTTCCTTTCCGTCTCCACTGCTAGGGACCCGCGACCAGCGCTCGAAACCTACAGCACAGTTGACCCAGCACACTTGACCGGGGCCCACGGCCCTGACCACACCTCTCCTTGGGGGCGCTCCCCACGCGCGCCCCGCTCGGCGCCCCTCTTGGGCTTCCTTGCCCACAACAACCCGCGCCACGCTACCTTCCAGCCACCTCCTATCAATAAACAGCTGAACCAGAATAGTGTCTCCATAACCCACCAAATCAGGGCAACACAAAACCCCTGACAACTGGTGGCAAGCGGCGGATGACACGAACAACAAGCCTCCGAAAAACTGTAAGTACACCATTGGCAATTTCCTTTTCTTTCCCCTTTCTTCGCCTATGTGTGCATGCCGTTTTTTCACAAAGTGCAGTGATTTTTTTTTCAAATATCTGAACAAGTGTCCGTGCAGTGCATTTTCTTTCCGTCTTTCTGTTATCTACCATGTCATGGTAGATCATCGTTTTTTTAAAGGGAATCCATCCCCATTTTTATCACTTGCGAGAGTGCATTTTCTTTCTTTGGCGTGTTTTTTCTAACTCTCATGCTAGCCTAGTTAGCATAAATCGTTAGTAATGCTTAAATCTTTCATTTATGTGGGTGAACTAGGCCGTGCATTTTTCTTTAAATTAACCATACTAAGCCACGTGGCTAGAGTTACAAGTATTGCCATATATTTGATATTTTCTTATTCTTATTATCTTCCAGTGTATAAACCGACGCTATATCGACGTTAATTTCGCTTATTACTAAGTGCATTTATTTAGGCTCGGTTTAAATATGCATTTGTGGGATATTTTGAATATTTAAATAATTTAGTTAAATTATGCACAAACTTTTTCTCTTTCCCGACGCTTCCCACCTATACCCGTTCCTTACACTCCCGCTATTACTATCACTACCATCCTAAACCCCTCCCTCTCTCTAACCCCCACCCGTTAATCCCCCCTTCCTCTCTACCTATTTTCAATATTTCTAGTCCGCTAGTGTTAAATTATTTTTTGCAGTGATAACGTTTTATATTTTTCTTTTCGTATCTATATTTATACAAAAATAGTATGCCTTGCTCATTTGTATGTTTATATGAATAACTTTAGTATTTTTTATGTATAAAGTGTTATATTCGTTTTATAGTGCGAATGACCTCACTCATGGTTGTTCAGGTGAAATCAAGTCAGGTCCTATAACATTGTGATTTTATCATTATCCCGTTATCAACGTATTTACGACAGAGTGATGAATTTACTTCCGGTTTGCATGAATATATCGGGAACTATAATAATACTAGCATAATTCAACGAATTGTTTTTACGTTATTATTATAGTATATTTGTGCATATTCCGAAGTATATTTCGATAATTATTCGCCTTCTTTATAGATATATTTTTTCTTTAATTATTCATGTTCATTTATTGTAATTTGATATTTAATTTCTAGATTATGTGTACTTGTTTTTCACAATATTTAATTTACATATACTAGCTCTTGCTATTTTAACGTATATTTGGTTAATGACCTCACTTGACCTTACTCAGGTAAAACCCCTCCCCACCATCTGACTTCGCCCAACTTAAATTACATTCAAGCTATTTGTATTTATATCTTATTAAGCTATCTCCGTGTTAGAGATTGATTATATTATACAGCTACTACGATTTCATATTGTTCCTGATTTTCGTTTATCTTAATCACGAACCTCACCTCATCATTATTACATGGTCCTTGGTGACGACCCACAGCTGGGTATGGACATGTAATTAGGTTAAGATAATTAATGTTAAGTTGTTCTGTACGTGCAAAGATGCACACATCGCAAGAGGCGATCTACGCGCCGCGCGCATTCTTATCGCTATACGTGAGATTATCGCTGGTATTCCCAAGATGGATACCCAATTGCGTCTGCGTATGAGCTGGATGATGTGTCCCTTCTACGGTTGGGCATCACGTCATCACCTTCCTCAGGGAATTTATTTTAAGTATATTTACAACCACGAGGGTTGTCTTTCGGGTCAGTTGTCTCAGGGAAGCTGACCCAAACCAGTCACCGTTTCATTCATTTTACTACTACTAATTAAAGTACCATTTTTATGATTTCGCATAGTAGTTGATTAATATTGAATTAACGTAAGTTCATTGTTATTAGTGTGAATGTTTTTTTTTCGTGCAGTCAGATCGGTGACTATTTTCATTAAGCGCAATCCACATTGCCACCCCAGCCTACATACCTAACCCCACCCCCATCCTCACCCATACCTCTTTTACCCCACCCCACCCATCCTTCCTCAGCCTCCCGCCCACCCACTCCTCCTCCCCTTCGCTTATTTCTTCCAACTTCCACGCCATCCTATTCCTTTCTTACCACTCTCGCCTTACTTTAACACATTACTAATGACTCTAAAAACTAAAATATATCTATCAACATTCTATTTTCTTCTCGTGTGCTATACTCTGACTACTCATTTCATAACTCCCACCCATTAACTCAACTCGTCTACGCACTCACGCAGCCACATGCGCACATCGTCCCGCAAAACGTTAATTGCACAAGAATTACATGCGTACTGTCTCCGGAAGATAACCGACTTGCGCCAACCGTGTATTCTTATCTTGCATTACGTTTTTCCGTGCAAATGTTGTCTTGAGGAAGTATATTTTGATGTAATGAGTCGCTCCCGAAGTATGAGGACTGCATTACCTGTTTTCATTATTGCTTTGCCTCAAATTGCTGTTGGTGACGTGTGATAGACAACTTCAATGAAATGAATACAACACTATTAGTCAGACGTATAGCGTATGCATTATTGCACTGCACACTTCTGAACTCTGCATTGTTGCATTTTTTCTTTTTTCCAAGGAAGTTCGTCGTTCAAGACAAGTCCTTGCGGACTGCGACACCTTTTGCTTCCTTTGTAGTTTTGCACAATGCTTATCTCTCGTAGATTTTCATTCCTGCTATCTGAGACAATTGCAACTCAAGCAAGTCCTTGCGGACTATTGCAATTGTCTCCCTAAGCATGTTCCTCTGTCTATCTTGGACAGTGAATTATTGAAAAAAATAAATAAAAATTGAAAAATCATGGAAATAACTGACAACACTCCTTGCAATGTGATATATTTTGATTATATCTTACGGCCCCTGCTATATACACCCCCCCCCCTGTTTGCCCCCTGTCTCTCGCCCTGTCTCTGCCTCTGGTGTGCTTTTTTTCAGAGAAAGCCAGTCATCCCGTCGTGGGCGACGGTTAGTAGCGTATGCCGAGCGATCTGAGGAACAAGGGTTTCCTTTCCGTCTCCACTGCTAGGGACCCGCGACCAGCGCTCGAAACCTACAGCACAGTTGACCCAGCACACTTGACCGGGGCCCACGGCCCTGACCACACCTCTCCTTGGGGCGCTCCCCACGCGCGCCCCGCTCGGCGCCCCTCTTGGGCTTCCTTGCCCACAACAACCCGCGCCACGCTACCTTCCAGCCACCTCCTATCAATAAACAGCTGAACCAGAATAGTGTCTCCATAACCCACCAAATCAGGGCAACACAAAACCCCTGACAGAGAGAGAGAGAGAGAGAGAGGGAGAGAGGGGAGAGGAGAGGGGAAAAGA